ACTCATCTATTCTTGGAAACCCCCAATTCTTTCATGATGAAAAATAGTGACAGTGAACTATCAAACACACCTCCTGATATAGCAAAAAGTGCAAAAGTTTGAATCTCTTAAGTATCGGAGAAATCAAAAAAGAAATATGAATTACAATATGATACATTCATGAATTGGTGCCACTCCAAGAAGGTGAATAAGTATTCAGAAAACGTTTTACTGGCTTATTTTGGTGAAAAATGGAATACTCTGAAGTCATCAACTCTTTGGTCTATATATTCGATAAGTATACATGCTTGAATGTTAAGAATAATAATATCGAAATTAATAAGTATCCGTAACTTATCGCGCTGAAGATAAATACAAACAAATTTCTACAAGAAGCTCACGATGAAGAATATCTGTTGAAAAAGGTAAATTATACTTTATATTTAATCTCTATGTTAATATCAGAAAAACAGTGTATCTTTATTTTATTGCATATCAATGAGTTATGTTCAATTTGATTGCAGAGTATTATTTACTATGGCTCAGAGGTATGAAGCGCAGGTTGCCACGCTGGTGGTCCGGGTTCAATTCTCGGTTGGCTTTTCATTTCTGACCTATCAGTCATTTCAGTTTTTTTTTTTTTGTTGTCGTTGGACTATTTCAATCGCTCATATACATTCAGGGCAGCCATTTCCAAAAGCTGCGTCAGTAGGAAAAATCTTGTGTGTATTTCGAGCACAAAGTGTCATTGCCGCTCTCCAAAGATTACCGCGCTCCGCTCCGCATCGCGCGGTAACCTTCTTTGTCGAGCGGCAATTTATCACTCCAAATACACAAATAGCTATTGGACATTACTTGATGCGTGCCAGAGTTGTTATTTCGGAATTTGTATTCATTGTTCGCCACCTAATACTTCATCATCAATTAACCCGAGAATTAACCATAATAATGTGGAATGTTGATCGAAATTTTCAGAAAGTACCTCTCAACATTTGAATAATCGTTTCGAAACTCCTTATTTCCTCTGATAATATTAAATTCCATGAAAAATAATTCATATAGGTATATTTTCAATAATTCTTGTTGTGCTTTCGAACATACATCGGCCCCTTCATGTTTCACAAAAAAACGTGTCACGCTGAATATGAATGGAAAATGAAATAAATGAATGAAAACTACGGATTTCCTCCTTCAAAACTAGGAATTTCCAACTTCAGAAACACAAAATTTCGATTTTGTAGTCGGAATTTCCAAGTTTGAGCATGAAAACAAATCACATTTTCATTTCCAACTAGGGACTTTCAACTGAGAACTCGAACTCTCCAACTGATGAGTAGAGAATTTGAAGCTTGAAGTTGAAAAAATCAAATTTTGAATTTTCAATTCAGAATATCAAATTTCATTTTGGAAAATTAAATTTGCAGTTACAGGTTTTCGATCTGACAATAAAATACTCTGTAAAAACCCTGGAGTGACCCAATCGAGAGCAAGACACCCTCACAGATTTTTTATTTATGGTCCAATTTTGACGAACTTTATTTTTAAATGTGGAGAATGGAAAGGCGTTTCGTAGCCAAGGCCAAGTGAATCATATTCAGAGGCTGAAAAATTCAGAATTCATAAAGGCGATTTTTTTTAGGAAAAAATATTCAAGATTAACGATTCAATGAATAAATTACAGACAATTTGTTTATCATGCATTGAGAAGCTTTTCATAATTACTAAAGTATCAATGTTTGTGTGAAGTTCCTTCCCAGATCTCTCGATTCAACTTCTTGAGAGGGATCAATAAGAAAATGTGAAAAAATCAAGAATCCGAAATCAATTAATGTTTGTTGATTCAATTTTATTTCTGAGGAATGTCTTCATAACAATGTTTTCATGAGAATCTCAATCGAATGATGTTATCAAATGAGGTCGACAGTTTCTTCATGCATAATACATAACTCCTGAGTAATTTGATTTAAATGTTGATGATGTTGCATATTTTTTCATGAAACTTGGTACAGATATATCTCAGAGGACGTCGATTCCAGTGGCGTACGCAGATTTTTCCTCAAAAACTTGCTATTATAGCTTCTGGATTTTTCACCCTCTGAATACACTTTTCTCACCCCCTTCCCCCACATTAAAAAAAAATTCGTGAAAATGGTTTCATAAATAAAGGATTTATGAGTGTGGTCCGCTTTCATATGGGTCACTCTGTATACCACAATTTCCATATTACTTTGGAAACATCCCTCGTATCATCACGTCAGTGTTGGTCAACGGCTTCTACTTTATCTATGTTCATTATAATCAAGGATGGCTATTGATCAGAGAAACAAGGACTCCTGGGAGACTCCAATAGCTTCGTGTATGTGACTGGACTTTATATCGACACGAAGAGGATAAGAGGAGAGATTCATCAAATGAGCTTACGAATCTTGTACAGCTGACCGGATAAGGGATTGACATTAAGACCTGATTCAAGATGATTTTACCCCTGCGAGGAATCTGGGAATAATGAATCGAACTACATAGATTTGCATATTGAATGTTTTTACTCCGGTAGGAGTAGAAGTCAGTTTCTCTAGTAAAAAAAGAGGGGCAGAGGTGGCATATTATTCCCTAGGGAGATAATGTGAAATATTTTCTCCCTAGAGAGTTTACACCAACTTTACATTTTCCGCATAGCTTAGCGCTATCTTTTCGGATCACCCTTCTCTGAAGCGAGTATAAGCTGCATCATACAGATTCCTGATGGGTTTCACTGGTGGCAAGTTAAGAATCACTGTAGAAGCAGTATCAACAATTTCTTGAGGTTCTTTCTCGATTTCTTGTTCCATAACCGTTAACCATTTTCGAAAGCTGTATTCATACATTTCAAATTGATATTTGCTGTCACCATGGGTTGTCAACAAGAGAATGTTGTCAAGATACGAATTCCACAAACTATACTACTACTACTTATGACAAAACACTTTGAGCAAATCTTAATTCTTCCTTAATTTTTGTTTTTTCGCTAGCGAAAGGAATAGTTTACGCACCTCAGGACACAATGCTATTCTTCCCTCGGTGCTTTGCTTTGTATCTCTCAGGCTTCGCCCTCGAACTACAAATCGCACCTTGGAAAAATCTTGCATTACTGTCCTTGATGCATAATGTACGTGTACGGTAGAATTTCAGTACACTTCTTAGCTATCAACCTTTTCATATGGTAAATATTCAGAGTGTCTACTTGAGTTGGCTACATATGGGAAACTGTTTCATCATTCATTTTACAAAAAAGAAGTTATTCCTCATAAATTTGATTTTTCCAGTCGTATTCGAGGTAATAACCTTTATTTTTGACAATATCGAGAATTATGGAATAAAGTTCAAAAGTTCATTAGAATTGGAAACTACGTTCAGATGTCTGATAACTTCTGTCTTCGATGAAAATCAGGTTTCACTATTTTTTACAATTTCTGAATGAAATAGAATTCATATTACGTTATGAATTTTTCGGAAAAGAATCATTCCTCATAAAAAAATCTCTTATGCCATGATTCGAGAATGCAAATATTAGATTTGAAAATCTCTCAGTCGTAAGTTTGTCAAAAATTATTGGATGAATTATTGTAAAACCTCATTTTCTCAATAGAGAGATATAATTAGATATTTGAACGTATAGTTTCCGATCCCAGTTAATTTTTTCCGATAACAATTTTGTATATTGTCGAAAATAAAGGTACTTCACTCCTGAACAAAATTGATGTTTTTGACATATCTCGTATAGAAATGAAGAAAATTATATCTGATAATTGCATTTACGGTTAACCAACCTAGATTAGTCACGATGTATATGATCCAGATGATTTTCATCCTGCTGCAATTGGAAAAATAGAATTTCCATAATGGTAAGTATACTGTCGCTTCAGTTCTTGACTCACCTGACGTTTAGGTTGAATGTCAGTATCTCAAGGTTGATGATATTGAATTCATAAGAAAAAGAAGAAGAAACCTGAATTTCAAATTCAACTTTCAATCGAATAGCCCATACATACACAATAAAATATCAAAAGTGCGATCAAGATGTTCCAAGTTCAGCCATTGAATGTTAGAGCTGAGAAATATATAATAATAATAATTATGAATGGATGTACAAAATAGTGACAAAGTTTTATGGATTTCTACCAAAGGGCAGAGTTAGCTTTTGTCTGATCCCTAAAGGAACAGACATCAAGTGCTTTCTTTCACTCAACCACAAATATTGATATCTGGTCAGTGCGACGTATATATAGATACTTGAAAGAGAAATTCTATGGAATCTGTTATCAACAGTACTCAGAATATATAATATATATTATGTCACCCGGTATGTCGATCCAGATTGATACTTCTAACCTTTTGAGAGCCATAATTGTCTGCCAACAATATTGAAATAATGAGAATTTTCGTTGGAATGATGACTATTTTATCGCCCTACATATCAATAACGAAAATGATATACAGGGTGTTGCGAAATTCGACCGACAACGCTTGACATAGGTGATAGCCCTCCTGATCTCATAATCACTGAGATAGGGACATACGGTCTTCGAGTGTTCAGTTCTCGAGATACAGGGCGTTGAAGTTGAGAAATTTGAATAGGATTTTGACAATATCTCAAGAATCGCGGTCGGTCGAATTTCGCAACACCCTGTATATGATATTCATTCGAGTTCCTATCGATTTCTGGTTGATCAGTCATAAAAACTTGATCACTCTGTATAACTAGTCTCTTCATTCAGAAAAACTATCATATTTCTCGACAATTTTGTTTTTGATATCCGCAATTCGAAGTATATGTACCTATCGAAAAGTTTCTTCAAACTCTGAAACTTCGATCGGCTTCGTTAGCTGCCGGATGGTCGAAAATCTTTAAGGAGCACCAGTTTCCTAAAGAAAATTCAGCGAATGAAAGAAAATCTTTCAGTAAAAACGCCGAATATCGAAATAAATAGTTCGAAACAAATTGCTTTCATGCCAGGCCTGAAAAGGGATTATCATCGAATTTAATGGCATTAAAGGTTAACTTTATAGAGAGAAACGAATCAAGCAAAAAGCCTCTAGAAGTGATGAAAGTTGAAGGCCTCGGAGAAGCTAATTAATAATGCATCGAAATTACGAAATGAGGATGGGAAGTATGATCCTCTTGATGAGATTGGCCCTATACTTGATTCATTATATACATTCAGTTGATTATCCCACTCATTTCAAAATATATGCGTTCCTGATTGGTTGTAATATATCTGTGTCAATGATCAAAAACATTGTTTTGCTTTTGTATTTTGGATTGATTGGATATTAGGTACCTACCTACACATGCAATATGTTTTCGTCTTTGTATTTCGCTTCCCCATTGGTCGTTTAACGCAAAATGAAACAAAACTTTCTGCCAAAACCGTGATTTATTATTTAAATTCAATTGTAATTTATCAATTTGTCTCGAAAAGTTTACGACCAAATCTGTTTGATCGGCATTTCGAAGAAGAACTCTCGATATTTGCAAATTTCTACCCCATTTGTGTCGAGTTCTCGACTAGAATATCCATGCTCATCATTTCGAAAGTTCATTATCATATGATCTGCGAACTGATTGTTTCCAAATCCCTTTTTCCTCACAAATAACTATTTTCTCGAAAATAGATTTTATTTTAGATGACCTACAACCTTATCATGTGCTGAAGTAAAGAGTTCATAAACATGATAATTGTGGTCACACTCAAATGAGGAGAAAACTTGGAAAACACGATAATTCTGTTACATCATAAACAAATGTGCATGGAGAAGCACCAAAATTAATTATGATTGATATATCGAATACCAAAAATAATATTAAAAAAGCTGCATTTAGGAGAAAGTTAAAGACGATTAAGTTTGTCATTCTTGGTATTATCAAAATGTGGTCTGTGGCGTACTCCAAAACAATTATATAAATTTTCATCATATATAGAGAATGTGAAATACCTATCTCACTGTATATTGATCAAATGGATATCACGTTTTGAATGTACTTCCACAAGAGTGAATTGCCTCACGAATTTCAGAGCAGTACCCTCAAAGGACTGTGAAAAAGTAAAATTATTCGTCAAATAATGTATTTTCAATTTTGTTGGATGGAAAATGGATCGAAATGACTAACCAGCAGCAGTCTGTCAGGAATGTCATAATATTTTTATATTCTGGAAGAAGTAGCACTCAACATTAAACTCAACAGTAGTCCAGTGGAATACTTGATTATCCGTGCGTATAATTATATGTGATATTTTGTGCTAGTGGACTGGCTACAATATCTTACTTCAATACGCAAGTTTCTACTCGATCCGCATTCTGAACTAGTCCAGTCATTATATCCAAATAACAGACCTTACCCGTGAATAATTTTTTAGTGTTTTTTTTTTCATAGGTGTCTCGGGGGGGTCACTGGGAGTGTAAATTTAAAATGGCGACCAAATCAAGCTTTTGCGTAGGTTCGAAAACTGTTTTTTTTTTTGTTAGAAAACGGTTTTTCTTGAATAACACGGCTATTTTTGATTCTACAGAGAAAGTTCAGGAACAAAAATTGTAGTAAATTTGGTCATCTACAAGTTTGGTCACCACAATTTTTCTGATAGGATCGATATTTAGTAAATTAAACCTGAAAAAAGCGACAAATTCGAAATATTTTCATTATCTCGTTTATTTTCAACTTTACGGCATAAATGAACAGAAACAAACTTGTAGAGAATCAAATTTTGGACAAATTTTGTCTTCACCTGTTTTTCCGAAAATCGATATTTTCGGAATTGAACCTAAAAAAAACGGCTCATTCGAAATATCATCATTATCTCGTTTATTCTCAACTTTACACCATAAATGAGGAGAAACAAACTTGTAGAGAATCAAATTTTGGACAAATTTGGTCTTCACCTGTTTTTCCGAAAATCGATATTTTCGGAATTAAACCAGAAAATATGTACCCACTGAAATGTTCTGTCTAATGCCACAACTGCGCTGGGCAGACTTGCGATAACGTCACACAATTGCGAGCCGTCGATGACAAAGACAGTGATGATGACAACGACATCGACGATCCCGCACCATTAACACTGAACCTTAACGAACGTGAAATTGGACATTACCAATTGACCGAAGAAGAAAGAGAGGATATGGATTTGGCAGGACCATCAGCTAAGAAACAAAAAAAAATAGTTCTGGAACCATATTTTCACACCGACATGACAGACAAGCTACCTCTTCATTTATGCCGTAAAATGCGAAGCATTGGAGATAATGATAATCTTTCGAATTTGTCGCTTTTTTCAGGTTTAATTCCCAAAATATCGATTTTTGGAACAAAAACTTCGTAACCAAAATTGTTTAGAATTTGATTTTCCACAAGTTTAGTCCTCTCCATTTATGCCGTAAAGTTGAAAATAAACGAGATGATGGAAATATTTCGAATTTGTCGCTTTTTTCAGGTTTAATTTGCAAAATATTGATCCTATCAGAAAAATTGTGGGGACCAAACTTGTAGAGAACCAAATTTACTACAATTTTTGTACCTCAACTTCTTCTGTGGAATCAAAAATGGCCGAGTTATTCAAGAAAAACCGTTGTTTTTTAACAAAAAACAACATTTTCGAACATACGCAAAAGCTTGATTTGGTCGCCATTTTGAATTTACACTCCCAGTGACCCCTTCGAGACACCTATGAAAAAAAAACCACTAAAAAATTATTCACGGGTCAAAGTCTATAATGACTGGACTAAACTTTGAATTTGTTTTTCAGGTAACAGGGGTTTGGAAGCGCCCTACGCAGTCTTGGTATTTGTCCACGGGGAGAGTTTCGAGTGGGGTGCAGGTCATCCCTACGAAGGAAGCGTTCTTGCTTCCTACGGACACGTCATTGTAGTCACCCTCAATTTTCGACTGGGAGTACTAGGTAAGGAGGTCCTCGATTATTGGAACTTTATTTTTTATCCGGTTATTTATACAGGGTGTTTCAAAAACACCTGACCCCCTCACTAGGGTAGGTAGAACACTGCAAAATAAGTTGGGTTTACTTGTGCAACATTGTGATGACATTTTGTATTGATGTTCCTTGGAATCTGACACATCACATGCATTTGTTTTTATATCTGACTCTCATAGAGGGCGCTAGTTACACGGTTCGTACCGAGTAGTTTTGAACATAACTTTTTTGAGGTTAGATTTTTCAATCCAAATTTGATGTGAACTTGAACATCATTCAATTTCACACCAAAAAGGTACTCTTGGTGAAAGTCGATACTGTGTTTCGTTTTCGGAATTTTTCGATTTGAAAATGATGAAGTGATAACTGTTGCTGGTATAAAGCTATGTATTTCAGAGTGAGTATTATGAAAAATTATCACCTATTTATTTAAAACCGAAAACAACAACACATTTCTGCTGCTAAACTTATATTGATTTAATAATGAATCACAAGAATAACATCGAAACAGATTCGACTAAGAACAAGGATTACACAGTTTTGTTGTATCTTGAGCAGAAAGTCTATGCTACATAGGTGAATTCACGTCAACAGATGTAAGACATATAATAATAATAATAATAATGATGTTTATTTTCACTTTCTGAAGGGTACAAATAGTAAATAAACGCTGACAACCACAAGGAAATAAATCCGCGCGTGGTGAGTATCTACGTTAAAGATATCGTGGAATTAGGTATACTTAATCTAGTTACAGTTGAGTACAGATTACACACATACTTATACATGGATACACATACACTCATACACCCGTGTATATACATACACATATACAAACACATAAACACTATATACATCTGTAAAAATACACATACCTACTTATATATAAAATGAGGAAGATAAACATGTAATACATTATTAGAAGATATTTTTTTATATTAGTACTACGCACTAGTTCAAAATCAGCTGAATTCAAGTTAATCTATAACATGTTCGGCTTGTTGATATAAAATTTTGAAGGGTATCTAATGGAATAGTATGTATCCAAATTTTGACTTTTTTCTTGAATAGTACCACTGAGTTGATACCCTTCAAGTCATATGGCAATTCATTGAAAAGTTTAGGTCCAAGATAGGTGTGACATTTTTGTCCTATTGTTTTCTCAGTTTTCGGTATCAAAGCTTTAGTTTTGTTTCTTGTGCTATACTGGTGATTGGGATGTATCAGATTTGACTTATTCTTGAATTGTTTGAGCAGGATTATCTTGGCATGAAGTTGATATATATTCAATATGGAAGCTTCTTGATATAGATTGTTAGATGGGTAGGTTCTTGGTTTTTTATACATGTTTTTGAGAATACTTTTTTGAATTTTTTGTAAGTTGTTGATAAGAGTGATTGACGCACCTCCCCATGCAATAATTCCATAGGTAAGGTGACTTTCGACCAAAGCGTAGTATGATATCTTAAGATAATTAGGTTTGATAAAATCAGAAAGATTTTTGAATTTGTAGACCATAGAGCGTAATTTTTTGATCACATAATCATATACAATGTTGCTAGTAGTTTCGACATAATCTTGAAAAATGTGTAGAAAAATTGATTGAACTATAGGATTTCAAGAAATGATAAATAGGACACAATTAGTATACCTACAATTTTTTAGACGAGTCAACATATTTCGAAAACAACAACAATTCGAAGGTAGTTACACTTGAAGCGAAGAAGTATGTACATAACCTAAGTGGTTTTGCCTTCCTTGACTGAAATTCTTCAGGAGGACAGTTTTTTCCGTAGTTTCAGTTACTTGGATACAGAAGCGACATGACCCAAAATTCTACTATACTTTTTCCTTCATGGTTGGAATAGGCAATCATAAAAATCTCCAATATCAATTCAGAAATATTCGAAGTAATACCTTGAAATTGAAAACTCTGATTTTTCAATACCCAGAGGGGAGAACTGTCGCTTTCCACCATGCAAATTTATGCGAGCAAGAAGCGTTTCGTTTCCAGAGGAAAAGTCCTCTTTCTGTTGCTTTATTGCGATGATGAAGAAAGAAACTTTTTTTCATGTGAATCAACGAAAACTTCGACTGAATTTGAATAAAAATTACTTATTCGCTGTACGCGGTCTCTCCGAGAGCTCGAGCAGCATTTTGTTGGGGGTTCAGCCAAATTGTCTAATTTTTTGTTCGACGATAAAAAAGTATATATATAGTCTGTAACATTACTTAGTATTCTAGATTGAAAAGGGAGACGAGTAATAGGTTTTAAGTTGTGGGGTGTACCGACAATTGAAAAAAGTAGACCCTCCTAATGTATTTGGCGATAAAAAATTCTGTCTGATGTTTATAGAAGACCAGATTGAAAAGGGATATTGATTGGTCCTCCAGTTATAGGCAACCATGATACGCTTTGATAATATGTATACAGGGTGTTTGATAATTGAATGCTTATATTTGATATGACAATATCACAATGCAGAGATTTTATTTTTCAGATCAAATTTCAGAAATACAATTCATAGTTTATGAACTCCGTATTCGTATTTGGTATTTTGGAATTATAACTTCTCATTGTAGTAGGCGATATTAATTCTTGAGAACTTAACCACCCTGTATCTCAAAAGTTAGGACGTTTAGATCATACGTTCATATAAAACTTTCTTTTCAGAATGGGCCCAACAATCGCCTCCTCGAATATTGACATTCAATTATGAAACACCCTGTATATTATGTTCAGAAGTTGGGATTATTACACAGACAGAAAACAAACTGATGTAGGTATAAGGATATTGATGTGATCTGAAATATCCATATTTATCTTTCTGTTGAATTGCAAACGAAGCAAAGATTTTCTACTATACAACTGCAGAGCAGGGATTTTATTTTCAGGATGCAAACATCAGATATGCAATAAGGATTTTGTGATTTGGAACGTTATATCTCTGAATTACATTGTTCAATTGGAATGAAGATATTCTCAATGAGGTAGGAGACAAAGAGAGAGAAAAGGATGACTTGATTTTCCAAGTGTTATTTTGTCAGGATTTGGGATTCTAGCTATTATTTCAACAATATAGGTGTCAGTTCATACGAACTACTGGAAATCCTCCTTCTGTCATATAAAAGGTGATCTAGCACAAATACGGTCAGTTCTAGAATATTGTTCCCACACTATATAGAGTTCAGCGCCCAAACATACGCTCGTCACTCATTCTCATACATCGAATAGTTCAATATAATTGTATAAAATGAACACCGAAATAGCGAACTTACGTTCGTTTTATCGGTTTAATCTTTCACTTAAAAGTATTCAGAATAGAATACAGATTTGCGACTTGGCAACATCCAACGGAAAGGATGCACGTGTGACTGAGATGTTGATGATAAGTGTATGGTGTTTGGACTGATGCGCTTTTGTTTCGCCCAAACTTGACGGCGAAACTTGGAAAACAAGTGAATCAACAAAAATTGTATTGACAAATTCGTATTTTTCCTGATTATATTCTCATATATCGAGCTCTGAAAGTGCCGATTTTCAGGACAACTAAACCGATTTCAAGATTCATATACAATTTCAATCAATGTATCTGATGGCTTTACGAGAAACCTTGATGGGTCATAGGTCACACGCGACATATAGATCGAAATCACCAGTTCTATATACGGCTTTATAATTCAACGGTGAAGGATGAAACAGCTTTTCGAAAAAATACCGATCACATGCAGAATTCCAAAAATTAGACTCATATATTCTGTTTGGCACAGCATTTTCGCTGCACCCCAGGCAATTCGCATAGCATTATTTCAACACCCCGAACCCGAAACGAAACAATAAAACGGCCCGACATGAATAATTGGCCTCCCCATTGCCCCCCTAATGAGTATGGATTCCATATTCGCCGTTCATACACTGTTGAAAATTAAACTGGTCAACATTGATAACGTCGTGGTCCAAAACATAGCCTGAATTCAAAATAGAATAACTCACCAATTTCCCTACCAATTTGAAATCGGTTTTCAGCGATGATTAGCCTAAACTCTTGACAGTCAGTTGTGGCAATATGAAACCTCTGTGACTTCAGATAACATTGCTACAGGGTGATGATTCAATGAGTGTAAAATTGCATCGTGGTCGTCACCTCACCGTTTGAACAGATAGTTTTTTTTAATTTTTTTTCTCACCTGTATCCTCTTGATTGATGCTTTCTCTCGAAACGGAATTTTCAAATTCAGAACTTTGATAATCGTGTTATGAATATTCATTCAAAATGATGCATTTTTTCGACGATTAATTGAATGAAATTGGAAGTTGGAATTCTTTTTCGAAGAATCAACGTTGTATGTATAGTCGTCAGATATGTGAATGTGTTCGAACACAGAAAATTCAGAAGAAGTCTATACAAAGTGATACAAGAAATACTGATGAATGATGGAATGGAGACTAACGTAGGCTACAGTAGATGAAACATGATTTTCTCTGTGTTACTAGTGAAGTGATGAAGTGTTACTTCGTCATAGAAAAGCATTTTGTTATATAGGCATAAAATTGCCCAACTTTGCCATAATTCACTAGCCCTGTATCTCTTACGGTTTAGGCGAGATCCCAATGACGAAGCTCGAATTCCATCAGCCACCCTGTACAGGGCCCGATGTATACTCCGTTCAGTGTCAATAAATATAAGAATGAATCAAATTATGTTGCTGTTTATGTACCTACATAAAAAATTTCTTTCAATCCTTGAGATGCTGGACTACTCTATAGTTTTTTATTGGTTTTTAGAAACTGAAATGAGAAATAATTTCACACAAATAGGTAATAATCATAGCATAGTTAATTGATTCTCTTGGTGGTTCGATTAATATTTCCGTATAGAAAATTGAGTGAATTATTATTGCTGAAATGAGTTGGGGCATCTGTAATAGAAGGTTTCCTGGACGACAAGATATGGATTTCTTCTCGTGAAATCCAAGAGATAGAAAGATATTCCAAAATACATATTCAGCTGTCTAGAGTTTTAGGGAAGAATTCCAGAAAAATTTTTACTTCATAATTATGTCAAGGTTTTGTTGAACCACCCTGTTTTCTGAATTCATATACTGCATAGACAAAACATTTCATCATACACTTCTATGCATATGATCTCAAACCGACTATTTCCCCATCGAAAGCCATTTTTTGTCGACCAAAGTTAATTCGAACTCTTCTCTTATTTTTAGTCGAATATAACTACAATAAAATGGAAGGCTTTAACTTGCTCCGAATCGAAATTACATTAAAAGAATGTTCTGGGTTAATGATTATTACCTCTTCAGCCGCCATTTCGTTGAAAAATACACAAAAACCTGGAATTACCTGCTATACATAAGAGGCTATCTAATTTTCTCGATGACTATTTAACCGTTGAGGAAAAATCTCCCACTTCCAAGTGAATTGGAATCTGCCAAAACTCAAACAAAACATTCTCGGAAAACACGGAGTTTCGAGTTCCGGTTTGAAGAAGTCTGAAATGAGTACGAAATGAAGAAATAGCCAGTGGCGTCCGCAAGAGGGGGCGCATGCCCTTTCCCTAGGACCTTTTATCACTCGGATAGATTCCCAATAATATTTATTTATTATATAAGGTAAAAAGTAGTAGACTTTAGCTCCAGGTTGTGTTGTCTCCCGACGCGTAGCGGAGGAAGACAAAAAACCGTGAGCTAAAATCTAATATTTTTCCCGTGTATGATACACAATTTTTTTCTGTGACAGCAGAAAGGACGAATCAATGTTGAGAAGATATTACATTATTTCGAAATCTGAAAACTATCGACGTGAAATTTTAAGTTTTTAACAGTAGGGACACCTGCGTTGTAGGCATCTTTATCATTCTTTTGAAGTAATCAAATATCTGATGTCACTTCTGTCAGTCTAATTCTGTGATTTGATTTCAAGTAATTGCGAATTTAGTGGTTGTTTAGTGTATGTGTATGTGATATATATCCGGGAAAAAAGTACTCACTTTGATCCCACGGAGAAGAAGAAATTTATGAAAAGTGACATTTTATAACCTGCCAACAGAGATGAAATGCCAAACTTTTTTCACATCACAAAAAAAATTGCAATATTCAATCCCTATTTTGTTTGTCACTCACATGAGGCTTAAACTGAATGTGTTCAGTCAATTACAAATTCTATAGTTTTAAGGGCAATGTTAATGCTGAAACAGATATTTTACACGATAAACTCAAGTCTGGAAACAACTTTTGATACAGGGAGTGTAAGACTATCATTCTATCCATAATTCATTCATAATGAAACTCATTTGAGTGAATTTTAATAATAATTTTTGCCTCTCTTTTTGGGACAATGTTGAACCATTTGATTATTTGGTTCTTTTGGCCATTCAGTCGGTTTAAAAATCTGATATTTTCCTCACCGGTTTGATTTTTGATTGCACGATCCATACTGATCTAACATTCAGATTTCCACATGGTTTCATAGGTTTTGCAATGTGTCTGAAAATGGTCGTTTGAGCCAAAACTAGTTTCACATTGATTCAATAGTAATTTACGTAACAAGTCCGGAAAATGCTGCTTTTATGGACGAGTAGGCAAAATTCTACACCGAGCTGTAGGCGAGTCTTGGAAGTCTGTGAGTCCAAAAAAACTGTTTTTGGACGTGCTGCGTACACCATTTTTACGGCAACCATGTAAAATAACAAATCAATGAGAAATATTTCCATATTATATTCCTTTGTAGAATACAATACCTTCTTTATTATAATTCTCATTTGTATCAAAAACTGAAATTCCTACCAGACGGTTACCGAAAATATAATTTTGTGAACGACCGGTCGGTATTGTTTGTTTTTTCACTGAAGTTCGTAGAAACAGACCAATTCTTGATAATACCCAAGTATACCTGATTCTATATAGGCCGAATATTCGTTTCATGATGAGAAGTACATATTTTCAATCGCCAAAATCTGTTTCATAATAAAAATCCGTGTTGAAATGAACAATATTTATTAATAGATCAGTAGCAGATAGTAAAATCTGCGTATTGGAACACAGGAGTGGACATTCATACAACATCAGGTAATTGAATTTGATCCCCACACGATTGAATATTTGCTCATAATACATATATTGAATTTCGATTCTGGCATATAGTCATAGCATCAAAAAAGCAACAGTATGACACTATATAGTGTGTCCCCTTCGGGCCAGTGCCTCACGGCAGACAACAAGGGACGTAACTCGTGAACCTTCTTGTTAGTTAGTTGATCCTGGCGAAAACCCTCAGACGAAAAACCCTGGATCAGCTCAAGATCTGATTCGCAGCTCATAGAATCTCGTCTGGTATGGTAGAGTCATCTGATCTACCGCTATTCGGTTTAAACCTGGAGTTCCTCGTCAACCCCAATTCGTACAAATTAAAAGACGATTAGGCATCAGTCTGCATAAACAAACGATGAATATCCGATTTCCAGGAAGTATAAATTGGATTAGGCGATTCCGAGACCGTGTGTGCTCAAAATATTAGTACGGATCTCTGGAAATAGAGTTCTCGTCGTGATTTACGCGTTTCTTAATTGGGTTGGAAAGAGAGAGACGATGCGGGAAGAGCAGAAGATACCCGACTGGGTGGGTCGGTGCTGATTCGCTCGTTAGCAAACCGAGAGGAAAAATCATTTCCTGTGATTCCGTCGATGTCTTTCCGACCTCGACGAAAATGGCAAAATAGATGGCTATGGAAAATTTTGCCGAAATGCGACATACAGGGTGAGTCATGAAGAACTGTACAAGTACATACTCCTATCACGAATAGAGGCCCTTGAGAGTAATACCTAATGACCATCAGAACAAGTATACTTCTCTTCTTCACCAATATATAGGGTGAATTATGAGATTTGGCAAAAATATCTTTTGGGCATAACTTTTCAACAGCTCCTTTCATTCGTCTGATTTTTTCATGAAATCAAGACAATCCAGGACCGTTTTCGGAAAATTTTGATAGTTTAGTTATTCAGATTTTTTCTCACAGTGTCAAAAAATTTTTCAAAAAACCATAAACTATAAGCAAAAAAGGAAGTTTGACAACAAATTTATTCATTCGGAAATAGTAACTTCACTTCGCATAAAATTCACAAATGAAAGTAAGACTCATTTTGTGGACTGGATTCCGTCATTTTATTTTTCGTGGAGGGTAATAATCACCACGTAGATCATTTTCAAATCAGTGAATAGGGTATCTGTTTAGATGCTAATGGTCATCGATTCAAATGATTCAAGATAGTCGGAAAGAAAATAAAGGTTTGTCCAGAATTATTTTTCAAAAGCTATTATTAATTTTCAAATGAATAAATTGTTTGCCAAATTTTCGTTTTTTCATAAAATTCATAGTTTTCTTCAAACTATACAGTCATAGTGTCAGAAAACTTTGAAATATTTTATTTGTCATATTTGTTAGTCACCTTTGAAAACTCCCTGTCGCAGTTTACAAAAACAATGTACAGGATGAACTTTTTGCTATAAACTAAACCATCAAGATTTTTCAAGAACGGTCCTAGATTTTCCCGATTCTGGATGAGTCAGTCAGAATATTCAATGAAAAAATCAGACGAATCGAAGAAGCTGCTGGAAAGGTATGACCAAAAGATGATTTTGCCAAATCTCATAACTCACCCTGAATATTGGAAAAGAGGTGAAGAATACACTTTCTGGTGGAATTTAGGTATTTCCCTCAGGAGCCTCTATTCGTGATACGAGTATGTACAGTTCCTCATGACTCACCCTGTATTAGCCGAGTGGAATCACAAATTCTCAAGTTATCATCACAAGATCTTCCTCAAAATAGCCGACTATATATTATATTTTTTTTTCTATTCCATAGAGACTATAGTTATCGTTTATGTATGACAATTTGATGGGACCACACTATTAGATCGCGATTCCAGAATATTGAAATCAACATCGTTTGTTTTCAAACAAGAATTTTTTTTTCATATTGAATACCAAAATTTGATATCATGTTGTTCTACCAAATTATTTATAATTATCAGGTGTGCGAAAACTGAACCTGAATCAGAACTGCGTTGAAGGGTTGTACTATGGTTGTATCTTTATCACACTCTGAACTACAACGGATAATAATTATAATCTGGTTCTATACAGAGTGGGCCTTTGAAAACGAAACAGAGGCTCTGTAGGTTGCCAAAACCGGATTATGAAAAAACTCTGAAACACGTCAACTACATTTTCAAGGGCGACATTGTTCTAAAATATTTTCAGCCCTGCGGCGTTGCCGCTTCTAATGAAAACAAGCAACAACTTTGTTATTTCAAATAGAACACCTTGTATTTCATTGCATTTCCAGATTCTCCTCGAAGAGCTGATTTCATCAATGCATCACACTTGGGGTCTAGCTGTAATGGTTTCAGGGATATAAAGTATTCAAAATCGAGATTTTTCAAACTTTAGCATTTTTTCGAAACTATTCATTATTGGTCAAAACGGCGCTTATGTCCCTATCTCGACTTGTGATTTACTATCAACCGACATTTATTTCAAACAAATACAGGGTGGTTCAAGATTCAGAATTCTGATCACCCTGTATCTGTTCCAATTAAATGTTAGTAGATAGTGAATCACAAGTTGAGATAGGGACATGAAAGCCGTTTTGACCAATAATGAATAGTTTCGACACAAAAAAATGCTAAAGTTGAAAAATCTCGATTTTGAACACTTTATATCCCTGAAACCATTACAGCTCTTCGAGGAGAATCTAAAAATGCAATAAAATACAAGGTGTTCCATTTGAAATAACAAAGTTGTTGCTTTTTTACGTTAGAAGCGGCAACGCCGCAGAGCTGAAAATATTTTAGAACGATGTCCCCTCGAAAATGTTGTTTGGCGTGTTTCAGATTTTTTTCATAATCCGGTTTTGGCGACCTACAGAGCCTCTGTTTCGTTTTCAAAGGCCCACTCTGTATAATTCAACAATTACTAGAAAGTATACATTCGATATATCAGGAGATTATCCGCTATCATTGTTATATACCAAGTCAAATAAGAACTCACTCTGTATCAACATTCATCCTGTATCTCGGTTCTAGAATTCATGGATATGCTATTTCTGTCCATTCCTCATTGAGTATGGTGTTTTCAGGAAGTGATTCCATCATTAGTGGAATGAATAATTCATTAGTGGGAATGCGAGACTTGATGAGTGAATTTTGACACCCAATCTCCTGATGATCCGTACGTCCGTACACGGTTTTGATCCGTTCGTCATTTGATACGATGTAACTAGGTGTCATTTAATTAGTGGTATTTCTTATGCGTGATTGTAATAACAGCACTATTGGAAGTATTACTTCCAATGCAATTGGTGTTTTTCATGAATTGATTTTCCAGAACCACTTCAATATACTTTTTCATCAAATTCCTGATTGAATTATAATATAATAATAATATAATGCAATAATATTTATTTCTACGATATATAATATCAATGTACATGATATGCGACAAAAAAAACTCAATTAGAAATAAATATAGAAAAAACCTTCTGAAAGTATAAACTTTGTTCGAAGGTTTAGGTTGTTAAAAGAGGGGATTAATGTAAAACACAATAACAAAAACAAATTATCCTTTCATCAACAAGGAATATTACAATGAGTGTAGTGTGAGGTGAATCAGCTTGCAGTGAATGTATATAGGGTGATGCTCATTCTCACATTTAACAAAGGTTGGAACCTGTCCGTTCAGAATGTGAAAAATTCACATCAAAATATATATACACACACACACACATTCCTATTTTCCTACACAAACATATATACAAACCTATCCACCCATTTCTAAAATTTTTTTGTACACATTCTTATACTTACTTACACTTATACATTCTTAATTATTGTACTCATATGGAGAAATCCTAACATCTATACATGGATTTATAATTAAATTACATGTGGATTTTCTTTCCCTACATTAAAGATATCTTGTTCAGAGACGGTTTTCAATGAGTTTGTGATTCCTTTTTCTTCCTTCTCGAGAAATCCACTTCTTAATTTGTTTTTTGAATGAATGGATACTGTGAATTTGTTTAATTGAAGCTGGTGAGAAGTTGAATGCTTTCACGCCTAAGTATGTGAAACATCTTTGGGCAATGGATTTGTTGATTTTAGGGATAATTGATATATATAACAATGTCTTCGCGGCTATGACACAAAGATGCTCTTGTTTTACTGTATTCGATGAATCTATGAGGTACTCTCTGTCATCAAATATATTTTCGTATCTGATACCTGTCAAAATCTCATTTCCCATGAAATGTCGAATATCAAGCAATGACAGCTCTGTCAAATAAATGAGCATTTCTCAAGAGATAAGCAAATAGCTACAAGCCGAAGGAAGCTGTTATCTGTTATACAGCAGCAGAAAAACTAAATTGTATTACTCGTACGGAATGCTAATTCAATAATGACTATCAGTCCGTGCTCATTAAACAATATACTATATTTTTATTCAAGTGTTGCATCAGAAAGAATTAGCTCTGAAATCCATTCGACTTAGAATACTATACCAGAATTAATTTACTGGGTACTACAGGTTTAGTACTAATATAAATGATGTTTTCCAAAGTTAAGGAAGTTGCTTCAAAAAGCTAAGAAATATCCTATATGATGACACTTTACTAACAAATTTTAATAGCTTGATTCAATCTATGATGAGATACATGGTATATTGATCTGGGGTGCAAATAAAACAAGCACTTATACAAGTCCAGAAAAGGTTCCCAAAAATATTCTTATGGAAGGACAATTATTATTCAACGTCCAAATTATATACTGAATCAATTGCGATCAATATACTGAATATAAGACATATACAGGGCTTTTCACGATGAGCGTTAATAAGACGTTTCTGGCAAACCAGATAACGGATCATTTTGAAAATTCAATAGAGGGCATATTCGGACATTCTCTAGCCAACTAAAATATTTTCGACAATGTGGTGTTGCCGCTTCTATTAGAAAGCAGTAGCAACTTTGATTTTTCAAATAGAACACTCTGTATTTTATTGCATTTTTAGCTCCTCCCTGAAGAGCTGATTTCATCGATGTGTCACACTTGGGGTCTAGCGGAAATGATTACAGAGATATAGGGTGTGAAAAATCGACATTTTTCAACTTTAGGAATTTTTTTGTCGAAACTATTCATTATTGGTCAAAACGGCTCACATGTCCCTATCTCAACTTTTGATCAACTATCTACTAACATTTAATTGAAACAAATACAGGGTGGTGCAGAATTCAGAATCTTGATCACCCGGTATATGTCCCAATTAAATATCAGTAGATAGTTAATCAAAAGTTGAGATAGGGACATGTGAGCCGTTTTGACCAATGATGAATAGTTTCGACACAAAAAAATCCTAAAGT